AAAAAAAAAAAAAAAAGAAAAAGAAAAGTGTGGCGAATAAATCATACTAGTACGAAATTACCAAGTAGCTAGTCTTAGCTCTTCATTCTAACTTATAAAAGAAGAAAAATAATTGTATTTTATTGACTTATAATCAATTAATAATATATTTATGATGTGCAATTCATGACCACTTTTATATGCGAACGTCATCATCAATCTATAGAAGAAAACAAATTTTTGCTCAATGATTAAGCTGTTACGGCGTGACATAATATTGAAATTAAGAAATTGGGGTAGGAGAAATTGTACTCCCACTGTATTTTTTTGAATTAAACTTGCTTGAATGAATAAGAAAATCTAACTAATTTCTGATCAAATGTATTCTAAGACAAAAAATCTTTGGTAGGCATCTTTAGAAATGGAAATAAATTGAAAAATGTGAGTTGATGAGCTTTACTTGCAATTTCTATACAAAATCGATAAAAATGTATACATAATATTTCTGTAAAAAAAAAAATACATGTATTATTAATTAATACTAATCAATCAAATATTTATCTTTAATTAATTAATACTAATCAATCAAAAAAAATACATGTATCATTAATAAAAATGTGAGTTGATGAATTAATATTTCTAGATAATCAATCGTAAGGATTCATCTGTAATTCTTTTTTTGTTTTTTGAATTTTTTTCTTATTCGTAATATTTATCTTTAATTTTTTTTTTAATGTAAAAAAAAAAAACTATGTAGTTCAAAATTTGTACACATTTCAATTGAACACATTCTATCCTTCATTTTTTTTTATTTAATTAACAATTAGACTAATTGAACAATATTTTTTATATTTAAAAAAATAATAATGTCAAAGTAAGTATATAAATAGTATAGAAATTAATTTATGTCGGTTTTTACCAGACTTGTAATTTATATGATTCATAGTCAATTTAGAGGGCTAAAAAGGAGAAGACAACGTAGTAGTCAAAGTAAATATATTATGATCCTCCTCTACAGTCCACACTCCAGTTCTCCACTCGTAAAATATAAACGACTGGACTTGTTCAGTTTTTCAAAAATTAACTGCTATTTATTAATTTATTGTTGACATTAGCTTCGATTACTTTCTTTTTTGCTACGTACGTCCGCCTACTTCGTATATATTATGTATCCATTGTATAAAGTAATATACACTATTGTAGAATTTTGTATTATTATATATTTATAAAAGTACTTTTATTTTTTCGTCAAAAATAAAAGTACTTTTTTGTTATTAGAAGACAACTCAACCAAAAGTTTAAGCTGATGGTTGAAATTCAGGATCGGTTTATATTATCAAAAACTTTTGCATGCCCCCGGTTTACAATAATTTTATTGTACATCGAGCATTTTTACGAAAAGTGACCCTTTTTTCTTACAAAAGTGACCTTTTTTTTCTTACAAAAGTGACCCTTTTTTGTACAAAAGTGACCTATATTTTTACAAAAGTAACCCTTTTTTTTCATAAAAGTGATCCTGTATTTTCACAAGAGTGACCCTTTTTTCACAAAAGTGGCCTTTTTTTTCTTCACAAAGTGACCTTTTTTCATAAAAGTAATTAAGCTACATATGCAAAACAGAGTATCAAAATCAACAAAAATAAACACAAAATTAACAATAGTCATGAAAAAAAGTACAATCACTAAAACAAATCAAACTAATAAAGATCGACATTACATAACAACAACAAAAATAAAATAATAAAAAAAATTAATCAAGAGTTCTGACATTGTCATTGATATAGTGAACTTAATTCATCTTGTAGGTCGTAACCCCAAATCAACCCAGAAAAGTAGTGAAGAAACAAAATCTAGTTATTGTAGTATCTATCATTTCTCACAATTGATATAGAATTAAAGGGAAAAACAATTGAATTGATTTTGAGTTATATAGATTGATGTATATTGGGAATCGATTGGGATGAGAGAGAAAGTGGAAAGAATTATGAAATTTTCAGTAAAATTTGAGAAAGAGAAGATTTTAGAGTAGTGCAAAGGAATGATTTTTTTTAGTAGAGGAAGATGGTCGATGTCGTCAAGTATCAGTTTTTCTGTTGGCTGCTATATAATTGAAGAGGAAGATGGATCTTAAAAGAGGAAGGAAAAAGAAGTACAAGTAGTAAGTTTCTGGCCATTCAATAATTTAATGTAAACCAGACTTTTTGTAAAGTTTGTGTTATATTATATATTGTCACTCCCCCTTACATGAGATTTGAACCGGTATTTGATGAGGTAGTGGTTTATATCAAAACCGTTACCAATAGTAGTTTTGCTTAAAACTACTACCTCGTGATAAACAAACTTTGTTTATCAAGGAGATAAACCGGGCTGCCTCAAAGTCTATGATACGAGGAATACAACAAACTGATTATGATCTGAAATGTTTTTATTTTTGACCAATGTACAACAATTCTACATATGATACGAGGAATACATTAAATTTATATTTCGTATAAGATATTGATCGATGGTTAATTAATTTATGACCACCAAATAATAGACGAGTAGCAAGAACTTGAAGGAACGTTGTTTAGGGGATTTGTGTTCTTGCGTAAAATAGCAAGAAATAATTATTAAATTAATTAATTGACGAGGAACACCACCTCCCAAAGTCTCCTGTTGTACATCAAATCATCAATAACATGAATGCATGCACCTATCAATTAAACAAATTCTGTTCTTTTTTCTTGACTATTTTTCTTTAATTTTCCAGTCATTTTCGGATTGGATTAAAATATTAAAATAAAAGTATCTCGTATAAGAAATGAACAAATTAATTCGTTGATTAATATTATAATAAATTAATTGCTCTATACAATTATTTTAAATTATGTCAATTTTTTTTTTTTTCTAATTTTTTTAAGACGTTAGGTCAATTTCTTTTCTTCCTATGAATTCTTATATAAAACAGACAAATTTAAAGAAAGTTAATTTATATAATACGCAGTTCTTTTCCTAATTGATTGAAATCTTATTATTAAGAGGAAAAACAAAATACACGAATAACTTAATTATGGAGTATATACGGAGTATATAATAACATAATGTCATAAACTCATAATACTATAATAGTACTCCATAGAACAATAAAATTGAGGATTTGTAAATTTTAAGACCCTAAAATTATCAACAAGAAGAGAAATGGCAGTTCTTTTTTTTTTTTTTTGGGGTAATATTTTCGAATTTTATTGTGATGGTTGCTTGGATTTTACTTCGTTGTATTGTGGAATCTGGATCTATGGATACTACTATCTAGGTCATTTTAGTATTTATTGATTAAAAGTGCGTGCATGAAGTTTACCATTTTAGGTCTTAATAATAAATATTGTAGGTCTTTATAATTATTAAAACTTTAGCATTTTGCTGTACATATATAGTCCAAAATAAGATGATTATTGTGATGGCTTTAAATCCTAATATTTATGTTTGGTGATTAGTTGATTGAAAGAGAGGTTCGAACTTGATCTTTTATTTTTATTTTGAATATAAATCACAAGTATGTAACCTTTTCAATTTCGATATTTAAAGACAAATATAACTTGGTCAAATACATGTGCATTCAATAATGAATTATGCCAATGTACCTATATGCTTACCTATATTATACTCCGTAATTTGAATCACATTAATTATAGAAATGGCTTAATAACCCACAACTCAACACAAAACGGATAGTACCACGAGCCTAATGGCTCAATGTATGTAACGTGGAGATATGCAATCGATGGATATCATATAATCATATTTGCTTATTTCGTACGTGTTACAAAAATAATAGTAGCAACTCCGAATTGCTATGGAAAATGTGTGAGGTTGTACGGAACATACGAGTGTAATGTGGATTGTGTTATGAAACATTTCAAAGGAGGAAGATGCCAACTTGTTGCTCCTGGTAGAACTAGTGTCTTCTGCTGCTGTCAAATTTAATGAGGCTTTAAGCTACTAGTTGATAGTTTGATACAGTACTTGATAAGATTGTTCAAGAGATCTCGCAATATCATACATGAATATTTCAAAATCTATTGTTACTATCATTGTTATTAATTTTTTTTGTCATTATTCCAATTATTAAGGTAAATGATATATGTGTCATTAGGATTTAGGATTACAAATAAGCATTTAATTAACTGAAGGATTCATCACACATTATGCAAGGCAAAATTATGCATAATCGGTTTAACAAAAAAAATTATTTTATTTTTTACTTTCAATTTTAGCTACTAATTTATGGCCCTTAGAGCTTTATACAAAGTATATCAGTGTTATTGTTATGTTTCATTTTCACAATCTAGTTGGTTTATAGACATATTAAATGAACCACTTGGTTGGGTTAGTCTCATGTCACTTTCAAGTTTTTCTTTCAATAACTACAATACTTCATGACGATTTTCAATCACTATAAATTTTAATGTCAGAGATTCAATTTTGATAAAAATGGTCTTTCATGGTCTTTTTTTGGTATAGAATATAGGTGAAGTTAATTCATTTAGGTACATAAATATACACAACAAACTGAACCACAAATGTATGGTGAGCTACCGTGGTAGCCACCCTAGCCGGTAGCTCGGTAGGGCGTATTTTTGCCATCGAATATCATTCTTGACAGCAAACGCTTAGGCAGAATAAATATTTCCAACATAAATTTTCATATAATTGCTTGCACTGATATATTTTGATAATTACCAATTGGTTACTGGTGCAGTGGAAATTGGAGCTGCACTTGGTAAGGAGGGCCACATATTTGATCTCCTACAACAACAATTGGGAGGGGACTAGTATCTAACCATTCAGAACTAAGCCCCAAATCCGGATTAGCTCAAAGGGTGAACCGGGCCAAAAAAGAAAATATATACTTCAGTATATTTCAATAATTTCATTGCTTAGTTTACTTTCAAACATGCAATTATTTTTTTGCACGTTTCATTACCCAAAATTGCAAGCCATCAAATTCAAGCATTATTGAACCTTGAATTATAAGATTGAATAGCATATGCAATGGTATGATTAGAAATGGGTAAATGACAAATGGTACACATCATATTGATTATATCTTGCTATAAATATAATGCAATTAATAAATCCCAAAAATATTGGGAAATTATAGAAAGATAATAGCTTCTCAACAGCAACATAATGTGGACAAGTGAATCATCATATGAAATAATCCTACAATAGCTAAACTTAAACCACCTAAATAGTTTATAAAAGATTCCACCATACTATTGACATCAGAACCCAGCTTGACAAATACCCGATTAGACGCGGGCCGGAGTCCAAACGAGAAGATCCGGATTTGTGTGGGATGGAATTTGAACCAGCGGGTTGCGGGGTGGCTGCAGGAGCCATATCAAAACCACTGAAACCTGTCGTCGGAGGTGAAAGGGACGGAGGGGGAGCCACCACTAGCGAGGGTGGAGAGGAAGAATTAGGCAGTGAAGGTGTTTTGTTGATATCCTGCAACACCCCATCTATACCATGACACCTGATTGAAGATCCAGCAACACAGAGGTCAGGGCTTATTATCTTAACATTGTTAAGGAAGAAGCTCTTACGCCCATTATTCGAGACTTTAAGCATAAACTCGAGCTCTGATGAAGGAAGCATCGACCCTGTTGGGAAGCGGATTAAGTAGTCAAACCTCAATGTGGCTGGTATCGAGTGCCTGAGCAAGAAGTTAAGCACATCATTTTCAGGTATCACAGCTTTTGCTAATAACCGGGTGTTGGGCATCAAGAAGGTTACGTTGCTTGGTATCTTGTCTGTCGAAACCATATTTAAAAGCATGACAAATGCAAAGTAGTTAGCTCTTTGCATTTCTTCAATAGCAGTGTTAAGGGTTTGATTTGTTAAAGGGGCATCTTTAGCAATGGCCGAAGGCATCAGCGCCATTACAAAGAGTGAAAGAGCAGTGTATATGGCCATAGTTAGCAGGGATCTGTGTTTGTTAAGAAAAGAAGAGGTTTCATATGCAGGAAGAAAGTGCTTAAAATAAGATACTAGATCTTAACAGAAAATGAAAATCAAATTATATAGCTTAAGACATGCAACAATGCTGGTTCAACAACTGAAAGTTCACAGTTTCTGCGTTTTCGATATTTAGCAATCATAAACTTATCATTCATGAGTTTTACATCTCAAATTCAGATGAGAACATTTTAGTTGTAGTTACTGGAGGGTTGGACAACATGTCACCTACTCATATTTCATTTCTTTATTTTTGTAACCTAGTTAAAAATTACCATGCTTTTGGGATTGTTGTTTAGACAAGATCCTACATCAATTCGCCTGATTACGCAATAAACTCATTGCAAACAATGGCACAATCTGAAAGACTGAAGACGTTACTTCACAATAATATCTTTCTGAAAAAAATGTTTTTACTGAATCATACAAAAATGAACGAATATTGGGGAGGGGGGGTAGCATATTCTCCCACTTTAGCTCCTGGAGTCATTGGTGAGCCTTAGTAACATTGCTGAATGATATGACTCGCATGAGCGATTAACTCATAGAGCAGTCAATAAAGAATATGCAAGAAAGTAATTTTATCTAACCAAATTTTTTTACCTTCTAAGGGAACTGAAATGAGCCTCCGATTTGGTCAGTATCTGATGGAGGTTTGATAGCAACCCAGAGGAGAGAAATCGTAATAGCAAGTAGTCCCGACCATACGAAAACAATAGTAGGTGTCCTCCCTCTTCTTCCCATCAGACCTTTAGCAAAAGGGTACAGATGTGCCAACACCCAGACACTGAAGAAAACCCCACCTATCAGCTTACTCCACTGGGGTATAGTACTGTAGATTGTACGGCTAAACCCAACTGCTATTGCTATCAAATTAAGCATCATGATCAGAATAGGTGGAATCATCAAAGATGTCCATTTCACGATGTAAAGATCAGCAAATTCATCATCGTTCTCATCACCGGAAGATTTAGAAGTCAAGGTAAAAGAGATTTCAATTCCCGCTACCACTTTCAGCAAGCCTTGGAGCACTGCTGCAAGATGAGCACTTGTCCCTCCAATCAACCAAAACTGTTCATTTCGCCACCATTCCTCCAACTGAATGCCTGACCATTTGATCTCAAGGATAGCAAGCAGACAGAGAGTTAAAGTAATGATTAGTAGATAGGTGAGGAAAGTGACATTCAGGGTTTGTACGATAAACTGGCCGGAGAAGAGAGAGAGTGCAGGTAGGAAGCAGTATACAATTAGGAAAATAGAGGTGAAAGGATAGATACCCACATTAAGGTATGCAATCCTTTGCAATATTTTCATCTTTGGGCTGGCAAGAAGGGCGTTATTGCGGGAGAAGAAGATTTCAACCGAGCCAGTAGCCCACCGAAGAACCTGATGGAGACGATCAGTTAGATTGATTGGAGCAGTCCCTCGGAAAGCATCTCGTTTGGTGACACAGTACACAGACTTCCAACCTCTGTTGTGCATCCTATAACCAGTGACCACATCCTCTGTAACAGAACCATAGATCCAACCCACACGCTGCCCCCATTCTGTCTTGTCCTCATACCAGCAAGAAATGGAATTGATTGCCTCGGCAACAGTGTTTGCATCAAGCAACTCACGGCCGATTGTGAGAGCGCCAGGTGGCCTTCCATTCTTGACTGCAGGGTGATCAGCCAGCGGACGGCCTTGGTACTCTGCCACAGGGATTGAATCAATAAGGAACCTAGAGTTGCCGAATTTCTTAGGAAATGTGGCAAGAGGCATTTCTTCATCGTCAGAGTCGTCACCCATTCTCAGAGCTCGGTTCTCTTCAGCTGCAGCGCGTTTTTTGCTACGTCGAAAGCAGCAATCCCAGACACTAGGAGCACGGTCTTTTGCACGAGGTGGATCAAAGCCATAAAGGGCCATTCTTCTGAATAGACAACCAGTTCCGACATAGACTGGGCCTTGAAGCCCATCAAGGGCTCGCATATTGACGTCAAAGAAAACTGTGTTATTGTTGGCATACCGATCAGAGGGGTCAATACCCTCAAACCTTTGAGGGAACTGTACATAACATATGCGATCCCCACCACGGTCCATCATGAAACACATGCCTTCTCTCATTGCTTGGGCATAGTAAATATAATGGTCACAATCCAGGTTGAGAATGAAGGGACCATTAGACATGATTGCAGATGCTCTCACCAATGCATTCATGGCTCCAGCCTTTTTGTTGTGATCATAACCAGGGCGCTTCTCACGTGACACATAAACCAGCAGGGGAAGGCGGATGTCAACTTCTGTAAGGTCAAGAAGCTTGGAATCATCAGGAACACCTAAAAGTGGTTCTTCACTCGGAGGCTTGAGCATAACCTGCATCACATACAAAAGGCCAAATCAGCACATCTGATCGTAAAAGCATTAATCTATTTAAGGATTTAACAATCACTAATTTACAATCAAATAGACGACCTACTCCACAAAATAAGTGCTCGGTTTGAACTATGTATACTTCGGCCTTTTAACACAGCACAACCATCACAATCCTTAGGCTATGTTTGGATAACAAAAGATGGAAGAAGGAAGGGAAGGGAAAGGGAGGGAGACAAAGTTCCTTGTTTGGATAATATGTTGGGGGAGGGGGAGGGAGGGATCCATTTTCCCTCCTCCTTTAATAAAGACCATCCCTTCAAAATTGGAGAGATTTGGAGGGAAAATGGAGCTCATCATTTCCTCAACTTTCCCTTCCTTCCCCTTCCTCCTATTTCCCTCCCTTCCATTTCCCTTTTAATTTCTTATCCAAACATAGCATTAGAGACCCAAACATAGTATGTCCCTAAGATGATATACCAAAGAATGGAGTCCCTCAATTTAGCAAGGGAAGATACTCGTGGTCAGCAATTACACTAATCAATGCATGATTTCCAAATCCATTTGACAAATTTTCCGAATGTACAAAATGCCACATGTATAGTTTGAAAACATTGTAGCTCACATTGTACCCCCTAATAACTCTTTTATAATCATCTCATCAAATAAATTATGTCCTCATGATCCTCCACCAAAATACATAGAAAATTATATGTAGAACCAGGGGTGGATCCAGAGACATGATAATTATAGTGACGATTCTAAAAGGTTTACTATAATTTATGTCACTAAATCTTTCAGTAGATGTATTGGTTTAGCGTTCAATGACATATATCATCATCGGTCATGAAATGAAGAGTTATCAAATGTTACCTGTATGATTCCTGCATGATCTCCCTTTGAGTGTTCAGGAGAAGGATGATTCCAAGTACCAGGCCAGTGAGTTCCATCAGCCATCCAAGTAGCTTTCGGAATTTTAACAACCTCAAAAGGTTCATCGGTTGGATTTTGTCTCTGAAGTTTAAGGGCTTTGATTTCTTCCCTGGCATGGTAAGCATCAGATCGCCGTCGAATAGACTCGGGCAAACCATTGATCCGAACCTTGAATTCATCATATTCTCTTTTTACACGCCTACGGTCTTTAACAAAGTCTTGGCGAACTTTATTCTTGTATGGATCCTTCTTCAGACTAAAGTAAGAATCAGGATTCCTTGGCTCAATATTATGCTTACGGCAAAAAGGGACCCACATATGGGCAAAGCTTGCAGCTTCAGCCATGGCCTCAAAGGTAAGAAGGGCACCACCATCATCAGAAACATAGCAAGACAGCTTTTCGACAGGATAATCAGCAGCTAGGATAGACAAAATAGTGTTGGCAGTGACAAGAGGAGGCTCTTTTTCTGGATCTGCAGTAGACACAAAAATATCTATTCCAGGGAGATCTGATCTTCCAGTTGGATTGTTAGAACTAGGTGTCTCAAACTTCTCTTTCAGAACATTAAGATCTGTAGCACGATTTATGGGGCAGAGTTTTGGCATCTGATCAAGAAGCCAAGAGAAGGCAAACCAAATCTCACAGACCACAGACATGCCCCACAGCCATAATGCATCTTCATTTTTATGTTTGACTCTCCATGCAAGGAAGAAACCGAGAACAACCATTCGCACAAAAATGAGCAACCTATAATAGTGAACAAGCAGAAAATTAATACTGCTTAATAAACAGTGTAAAAACGATTATAGAAGAAAAATCAATCAGACATAACCATAACAGAAACATTACCGATAAGGACTGAGAACAGCAGCAGGAATCTTCACTTTCCGAGTAAGTGGCCTCCAAGGTTTGTTCATCAATTCCTGAGGATCTTGCACTTCTCCATCCTCTCCATTACCATCACTAGGAGCTCCCTCTTTTGGCCAAATAGCATTTCCATAACCATATGTCCCCTTTGTTTCAAATAACCACCGACTGTGATCAAATTCTGCAGTCTGACTTCTCATCAACACCGACTTTGTCGATTTCATTAACGACAATCTCCGCTCCATCTTGTTCATTCCGCCTGCAGGTGGAAGTGGGAGCGGTCTTTCACCAGTTGCCGCATCCAATTCAGTATTCTTGTAAGGTTCCTTACAACCAGGACACAATGAGTTCCCAGACTTGACTGCATCAATGTAGCAGTCACGACATATCTTGAAATCACATTCACAAGGAAGAATATCCTCACCCCTCTCATCACTCATCACATTCCCATCGCATCCAGGGATCGCACAAGAGGATCCCTTGGCACCAGCCATCTGTGGGTGGCTAGCTTCAGAATCAAAAACCTTGTCCATGAGATGAGCTCTTGTAACACTATTAAACCCTCCAGTAAAAAGAGAGTTGGAAACATATTGCTCCTCAACCCTTTGTGAAATGGTGTGGTCCATTGGCTGGTTATCAGGCGTTTGAGGTATCTGCACAGTATACTGTGCATATTCTGAACTCGAAAGTTCACTATCAAGATCATCCCTCGAACGGTTAGTATAGCGACCAGAGGAGCGTCGACCAAAGCTTACAGTTGGAGGAAGGGGAGGTCTGAGTTGCTGCAACTCAGATGCATCAGTGCTCGCTGATAGATTCGAGCGACTTTGCTTAAAAGATTTAGATGCCATTTGTATATACCTGTCCAGAATCCCACATATTCGACAATCAGATACTTCAACATTTTACTTATTCATTGACATTCATAATTCATTTTCTGCTAAATTTCAGCAGAACCAATGGTAATAAAATAAACAGCATAATTTCACCTAGATTCAAACACAAATTATCAATACTGCTGACTAAGAATAAGCAAGAAATCTGAAATAACACAAGCTTCACTACTATTACTACTATAAATTAATCATATTCAATTATTCATACTAAACTCAGATCTTTAAATCAAATTAGCCAACCCAAAATACTAATAAGCTCTTTAATTACTAACTTGCATCATTACAGTAAAAGAAATCAAATCAAAACCAAACAAAATTCAGATCTTAAAACCCTAAATTCAACTGAAGAATCAATACAAAAATCAACCCAAAAAAAACCCTTTACTCATAATATAGTTTAATTCATCATTAACACAAAAAAAGGGAATAAAATAAAAGCTAAACTAGAGCAATAGCAGCAACACAAAAACAAAAAACAGGGGATTAAAAAATTATACAAAATAAAAACATGGATTTAAAAATCAATTAAAAAAAAAATTAAAGCTTACCACTTTGAGCATAAAGGAAGAGATCTTTAATGGGATCTTAGTAAAGAAGCTTCAAATTCAAATCAATGGCGAAAAATAGCAGTAACATGCTGTTCTTGCTCAACCAAAAAGAGAAGAGATAACAGATTGTAAGAAAAATGCAATAAGAGTTGTAATAATTATTGCAAATAGCAAAGCTAATATGGAAAATTTAGATTTATGCAAAAGTTTCTAAAAAACCCAGATTATATTAAACCAAAAAAAATAGAGAAAAAATGAAAATAATTTTCTCTTCCCAATAAATTAAATTAAAAAGGGAGTATAAAAAATGTGAATTAGCAAAGTTTGAAAAAAAAATAAAAAAAAAATTGGTATTTGTGAGAGTAAGGTTCACACGGAAGTGTGAACTGGGAAGTTGCTGCTTCCAGTGGGTTTTATTACATTGTTCATGTGAGAGATTAAGCAAGCTACTCTACTATTACACGACACCGTTTTACGCGTTTCTTTGGATTACATTTTTTTTGAATATAAAGTGCGGTTTTTCCGTTAAAGTGTACTTTTTTTTTACTAAGTCCAATAGGAGTACAAGCGTTTTATGCTTTTGTTTTGTTTATTTATACCTTGTCATGTAAAAAGTGTTTGGAAATGTGGGGTGTAACAAGATAGTAATGAGTAGATATGATAAACATATTTAATACTAAGATCTTGTTCTAATAGACTGAAATCAGTTGAACTCAATTGAATTGAACTGAACTGAATTGAATATTTTTTATAAGAGAAGGAAATTAGAAGTTCAGCTGAACTGAACTGAACTGAACTGAACTGAAAATAAACGTATGAGAACAGGCCCTAATAGGGTATGAATGGCATTTTTTTCATTAAGTGATGGGTATGTTGTATAATTACTAGGCATGATCGCATGCGTGGGAGTAATGTTATGTCTGACTACTTTATCGACAAACGTTAACGAAGTAGTATTTTGCTTCATCAAAGCTTGAGTGATACATCTCTATCTTGCATCCTCCACCGAAGCTTCCCCTCTTCCCTTCCTCGATTTCCACCATCTTCGAAAATCAAGGTAAATGGTAGCTTCAATAGTAGACATGGAGGGCTTAATTTCACCCTTTCTTCATAGGATATTAGTTTAATAGGCAACAAAGCTGCCAAAGATGGTGTTGTCGTCGGTGGAAGCTGGGTGGAGATCGGGGAAAGGAGGAAGCTTTTTTTTTTGGTGTTTAGAGAGCCACAAGGGCGGGGGTGAGAATCGATCCCAGGATCTCCTGAAATCGGGAGAGAAGCTCTAACCACTTGAGCTATCCCTCACTCTCTCGGAAAGGAGGAAGCTTTAATGATGGTGTCTGAGCCCTTTTGTGTTATATGCGTTGCTCCACGGTAACATAACATTAAGGGCATGTTCCCATAGACTGAGCTGAGCTGAGCTGAAATGAATATTTTATAAGAGAAGGAAATTAGAAGCTGAACTGAATTAAACTAAACTGAAAATAAATGTATGAGAACAAGCCCTAACAATGACTGGACATCATTCTCTACCTAGCATATGACATGCTAAAAAATAACAATAGAACCACTAGATAAACGTTACCCGTTTGTCTATAAGATTAATGGGGTCGCCTCCTACAATAACAACAAATAATGTTAATCTTAAAACTAAAACATTAAGTTCATCAAGCCACCCTTCATCTTATCTATCAATTTTTTTTAAAAAAAACATTAATAAAAAATAAACATTTAAAATGAAGTAAGTAAGTATCCACATCTCACTGCATAATTAAATGAATACATATAAGATCACATTAAACAGAATAGAAGCTCCCAGCTCCCTTAACTTGCCATTTCGCCAAGTAATTGGCTAATCCAAAAATTTTAAAAAGTAAAGTACTTGATAATAATGTTAATATGTTATAGATTAGAGTTTCATTTAAAAAAAAAAAAAAAATTGAATTTTTATTAAAGACAAAATAGAAAGGAAAAAAATGTCAAAGCACATCACAATATGCATGGGCCAGTCATTGTAACATGCACTTTTGATTTTGAGCTGACCTTATAAAAGAAATTTGCTCTAACATCTTTTTGTTGCAACAAGTATTTAATCAACTATTCCGTAACATATTTGTCAGTAATACTTTGTTGTAAGTTAATAATAACCATATATATGAAAATAAATCATCTAAATATGTCAACTAGTATGGAAAGAAGACATTTTAGGAGGCACAGGTGCAACCACTTTGCCACCTAAATTGAATCCTTCCTAATTTTTTTTTATAGTACATATAGGTTTCAATTCTTAAAAGCTTGATGCCCTGTTTGATTCACCTTAATTTTGCTGAACTTAAATTATTTTTACTGAACTGAATTTATTTTTACTGAACTGAACTTATTTTTACTGAACTTAAATTATTTTTACTGAACTTAAATTATTTTTACTGATTTTCTATTATAATTCTTCTTTAAGAAAACTAAATTTTACTAAACTGAACTTATTTTTACTGAACTGAAATTATTTTTACTTAATATTATTTTTTTTAAGGTGAAGAGAACAGGGCCTAACTTGTTTGACATTGGTAATCATGGGATCTAATCTGGTTATATGAGTATTCCTTACACGGTAAAAGTTACTCCGTACTTTCTTAATATTTCCTCGGCAAATTATGAAGTAGGATATGTATATTGTATAAGATGTACTAAAACTCTAAAAGTCAATTGTAGATTTAAGAAAATCATACCATATCTATCGTAAGAAAATTACATCTTATTGTATACACTCGAAAATTTCCGGAAATTCCCGTATCTCATTTCTCAACTTACTTTTAATAGATACAGAGTACTAAATGGCATAAACGAAGCACTAATAATGGTCTTACTTTTAATAGATACAGAGTACTAAATGGCATAAACGAAGCACTAATAATGGTCTGAGCTCGATCGAGATCAAGAGGAATATACATGCTGGCGTTCCATGAATTTGCAAATCAAAAGAAAATTAAAGTCGAAGGTACAATATTCATGTGCACCGCCTTTAGAGTCTATGCTACCTTAATCATTTCATATACTTCACTAATTTATAATTTATTATTAAGGGCCTAATAAGGTCATTGTCAAGTTACATATAGTCAAAATTCAATAATGAACTTGTGAAAAAAAAAAAATGATATACGATGGAAAAAGAATATAATATTCTTGCAAGATCTAAGCCGAGAAGTATGGGAATAATGGATGCTGTCTTTTTCATGCGAGGACCATTATTATCCTCATTGTCTTGATTGTCATTTTTATAGGACTGTACCCAGTATTGAAATAAGCTGCCCAACAAAATGTGATTACACAACACGTGATTTTGTCGTGCATTTTTAAGTTAATATCAATTCAAAATACTCCGTAGTTGGGACTGTTTTAGTAAATGTTCGAGTTAACCCAACGTTGGAAATTTTCAAGTATGAATGCTGGACTATCCATACTTTACTACGTAGTAATTCAACATCCTTGATGCACTGAAAGACCTGCGGTGGTTTGTGATCAATCATCATCCTTGGCCCTAGCCTTGAAGACTGCAAGACCTGAGGACTTGGCAAAACTCGCAAGTTCTCATCACAAACCAAAAGTAACCGCAGAAGATAAATTAAGGATTGATAAATTAGATGATAGGTTTAAATTACATTACCCATAAGGAAGAAATGTATTCTTTGCCAAAACAAACATAAGAATGACATATTACAATTTGAGATTTTTGAGCAATCTATTCCTTGATCCAGAAAGTGAACACAGTGAGACGTATAACTGAACTATTATGAACATGTGAGTCCAAAAAGGCAATGCTACACCAGCAATAAGGAATTACAAAAAAAAATTGAGGAAGGGGTTATCTATAGTTAAATTTCAGTCATAACAAGGGACCTGGGATACTGGAATTCGACTGCCTGCATTCACATATGCATGTGCTTCTGGATCCCTGAACCACACGTTGTGATCTCCTGATATGAAGTTTGATGTTAACCAGCTTACCAGCAATCTGCAGCATCTTTCTTAAGTTAGCAGAAATTCAATAGGGCAAAGGACATGAAGAGGAGGGGGGGGGGGGAGGTAGTTGTATGTACAAATTTAACAAGCAAGCCAAAGTTTGCAGGACAAAGGGAAGGTTTTGTAAGAAATAGACAAAGTTATGAATCGTAAAAGCAAACCATTCTCCATGTCAAGTCTTCAGGGCCCAAAGGCTGAGCTGGATTTGAATAAACAAAATGCCTCGAGTACTGAAAATAAAAACAATTTCAGTCATAAATTATCATAAGCAAAAGACAATTAAGATAATTATGCTAGTTCAAAATGGAAATCCAAAACAAACCCAAACACAGTTTAGATACCAGGGTGAAACACTCTTGTTTCTTTTACATTACATTAAAAAGGGAAGATGATAGGCAACAATCAAATGAGGAGATGGTTCAATCATATTTAAAGATGCTTTTAACATTTTTGGGCTATTAGGCGGCAAAAAAATACAAATTTAAAATTACCTTGGCCAAGAATTTTTGTTTCTCTTTGATCTCTGAAGGACTAAAACCTTTAAGGTGTGTTAATAGCCAGCCCGGTCTTAATGCATCATTTGATGAGACAAATACAGCCATCTGCATACATAATGACAAAAAGAATCTTGAGTATAAAATTCAGTTCAAAGTACTTATAACATGAACTGATTATTTGACAATTTAGTGAAAAAAGGCAGAAATTTGAAGCAAAAAAGCGAGCAGCATAGCTTAATAATATGCTAATTCACTTGAATATTTGTGGGTTTCTGTCCTTTCTGATAATAGTAACAAATCGTTATTAGAACCAATTGCATCCAAACTAAGATATCCAAATGTCTCCCTTTTGGAATAATGAAAGATACCCAGAAATTAGTTAAATATTTAGAAAACTTATGCAAATGGCAAGAAGCAGCATAGGCTGACAAAACGCAAGATGCTAATGTACGTCACAATATCATGGGCACTATATACAAGTAGCAAGATAATAGATGATACTATTCTATGCATGTGGGCAGGTTCAGATTTGGCTTGTCAAAGGACTGGGAATGCCCAACACTTAGGGCCCGGCTGGACAAACCACTTGACTCGGATAGGAGGCGCAAGCTGGGCAGGAAGCTAAATTGGGGGCCCCAGGGATACTAATTGCATCCAAACCAAGCTTTGCAAATTCCATCCCTCAGAGAGTATGGAGGAGCCAAGAAGGTTATGCAGCCAGACAGCATACAGTAACAGCAGCTCTTGAGCTATCAGTTTAAAAATTAAAAAGGCAAGAATGTACGACAACAATCAAGCTTGAAATTCACATCCACCTCCATTTAGTCTTCCAACAAAAAAGAAAAGAGACCTAAGTCTAATAATTACACTGCCATCAGAGAGACAAAAGAGAATCATAGTCGAAGAGCTTTGCAAAAATGAACATGTAATATCTTTACATTCACTGCAATCAGTTCAGTTGACTACTGATTGGTCTGTCAGTGTGCAATTAGTGGCTAGCAGCTCAGTGCTAACAGTCAGCAAAATGCTAAACTACAGTACAATATATAACACAATAGCAGTAATTGATAGATGACAATAACACCGAATATTGTGAACGGAAGGAAAAAAAGAAAGAAAAGGGGAAGTTACAAAAAAAAAAAGATATTATGTTTGATAGACTAATGTTAGTCCGTAGCAGTTTAACATGTCAAAACATATGATGACACAAATTATGCTAGATTCTATTCACTTGAGAGGTGTGCATAAAATTTTCTTTCTAGGGTCTTATATAGTGAAAACACTATGCGAAACCTAAAAATCACAATTTTCATTTGAAAGTTTCCTAATTTTAACATTGATATGTGAAACGCTAAAACAGTCCAATTGGCATTGCCATAGTCTATAGCCATACCTTACCATAGTCGATTATCCCTTCAAATGGAAGCTCCAGCTCGTCACTGACTATAACAGGGATGCAGCCACTAAATATAGCATCAAACAGTCTTGCAGATGATGGAGTGTCACCGGCTGGGCTCAGGCAAAAGATGGACCTGACAAGCATGAAAAACTACTCAGCTGCATCCACAATTTGTAGGTGTAATATACAATTCAGCTAAAATCTCAACACAATTGAATGTATTGATAGTTAAGAAAGAAAAATTAAGGTAGGTTGTCCAAGTAAAGTTCATAATTCTCACTTGCGCATTCCATTTTGGGCTGCAGCTTTGCCAGCCTCTCCAGATGTCCCTTCTTCAATGACTACACCATCAGCACCAGACAGCTCTATCACAAGTTTTGATCGGATCTTTCCTCCCTAAAAAGCAGAACAACAATATAAGTAAAGACATTTAACATCTTGTACATGGTACTTCCAACAGATGTCTTTCTTCTTTCACAAGCATTATCAGACAAAAACTTTATTTTCAGCAATCAAAAGCACCATTGCTTTTAAATAACTAGAAAGAAAATCATTAGAAGTGTACACAAAACATTTGCCTTAAGCTCAAATTTAACAAGGCAGAAAGAATGATAATGATTAGTAACAATATCCAAGTCTAACCTCTATCCAGTATCCACTACCTCCAACTCATAACATATTCCCACTTTCACACTCCACAGAGACTTAGAAAGTTCATTAGACGGCATTGCAAAGGTAATTTGCCCAAATATATTAAAGAACATTAAAGTTTATAAGGAACACTATGCAATATCATAAAGTTATAGCAGCAAAAGAATTAGAAAAATATGTCGATAGACTTAGTCTTTAATACAAACCCATTTTGGAAATCTCCAACTGCAGCATGCACGACTTACTATGCATAAAAAGAGTAGGAAGTATTTCAGTTCAAGTTACTCCCAATAGTCCTAAAACAACACAAATCATCTATGACAATTCCAAATAAAATACTAAATAGCTAGCAATCATGAGAAGGTTCCTTACAGCATTTCTTTTAAGTCTCCCACGAAAAAATAGCAGTGTACTTCTCTTGGATTCATATTCACGTAAACAATAAGAGTCGCAAAAGTCCACATTAGAAACATATGGCAGAATCAGGTCTTTCTCGAGGTAAACCTGGCCAGGCTTGTACCTAAATCCAACACATAGTATCCAAATCAGCCACATTAACTTCTTAGGTGGTAATTAAATTACAAAAACAATCACAAACCAGTTTCCTGTTGAGTCCATGTCAGGTAATAGCCAAATTGCGGTTTTCATAAGTCTACGAACTGATTTAAATGACCAGGGATGATGAACTGGAAGTATGTGGTCTCTTCCCCCAGAACGCTTCCATGCTGGCTGATCAGTCACCCATTTTAAAGCTTCCTACATCAAAGCATAACATACAATTACTTAGCAAGAACATTCAGCTACAGAAGAAATCATCATCTCACAAATAAAAAGATTGAAGGAGGAACTTGGCCACCTTCAGGGTATTGACCAAGGCCCCATAAAGACAAAATGTTGATTAAATATTAGGCAAACTACTACTGCTTCACATGACCAAAAGGTAAATTTAGTGTTTTCTTTCCAACATTTAGGAATTTTTATCAGTCATATGCTTTGTTCAAGACCATATATCAACAATAATATATTTGGTATCTAAACTTAATGTTTTGGTGCATAAGTTTACTAATATTTAATGTACAGATTTTTTTTTCCCCCACCCAAACTTCTCCATAGTGTTAATTAATAGTCAGACATTCTATCTACTAGTGCATTAACACAACAACATAAACATTATTTACATAACTATATTTAGTAATTTATAATACATTATATAATAGGATTAAAATCTTACAGCATAAGTCAATCTTCCCTAAGATTTGCTTATATAGATGTGGTGCTAGGTTTCTAGCTTTTACTCCCATAAACTTCAGGAAGCAAATTTGTCAAGCATTTTGTTAAATAGCAAAAAAACCTTGAGGTTGAAATTATGTGCACAGAAAACCTCATGCAAGTGAACTCCATGCATTTGTGAGTAAAGTTAAGCATGGAAAAGAGGAAAAAGAGTGTAAGACAAACAGACTAGATAAACAAACAGAATTTAAACTTCGGACCTGAAACTAAAGCCGCATTTTTACAGTAAAACAATAAATGATACATTTCAATCTCAAATTCAAAACTGTTTTGCCTGATGAGCTGAAATCATAAAAAGACTTGGAGGTGATTTAAAATTTTGGATACAATTCTGAAGAATCAAATTTCATCAGCAAAAACTTCATTGACATACACACAACAATTTTCTCACACCTCTAATCATAAAAAGACTTGGAGGTGATTTAGAATTTGGATACAATTCTGAAGACTCAAACATCACCAGCAAAAACTTCAATGACATACTCATTACAATCCAATGCAAAATTGCACATATCACAAACCAGACATCAATGCAAGGTTTAACTAAAGCAGGAAAAACAAAACAAAGAACAAAGAAAACCGAATATCAGAGAAGCACTCACACCCTGTAAAGTGCTTTGCACTGCTGTTTCTCCATCAAGAAGTAGCTGATAGTGGTGAAGAATGGGATATAGAACAAATCAGCTTCCTCTTGCTTGTGAACGCGTATGACGTTTTTTAACAGCCTTTTTGACTCCGGAGCAATCAGATCAGCCCAAAGCCAGTAGTCAACAGAATGCTGCAAAAGAGTAAACGAAAGTATTCAACGATCATTCTTATCCTTAAACAAATTATCACAGACAACAGCACTCTAAAGAAAACTAAACCGATAAGTAATCTACACCAATGCACTTACAAGTCATAAGTAATAACCTCGTCCCCATATATCATGAAACCATATAGAGTACCTAGCAACCAATTAAATTTACCAAGGGTCGAAACCTAAATCTTAATAGAACTTTCTTACTACCCCTCGCCACTTTCCCACTTAAAAACTAAGTAGCTCTTCATATCTAGTAAGTTAAATAACACATTCTCAAATTACACTAACTATTTCAGGAATTGATTCGTAGTTTCATGACACGATGCTTGTTATCGACAACTGTATGATTAAACAAGCGTAATTATGGTATTTTAAGCCAAATCGTTAACCATAGTTTCTAACCAATGCAGCAATGCTGCCTAATAACTTGAGGACGATGGAGTTCAACCAAAAAGGCAAGTAATTTAAGTTTTGTGAAGCTCTAAGTAGAGAGTTGCCTCAAATTTCTATCTGCCTTCTTCATTTTCGAGTTTAATTGTCTAAAAGCATACACTAAAATTCCAGTTTCAAAATTTCTCAGAAGATAAACAAATTGATGCTTCAACACACAGCAATAACTAATCAAATCAACACAACAATTTCATAAGCAAAATCAAAGTTAACAAAATATGCAAGAATCTCAATAGAATAGAGCAGAAATTCACCTGTTCGATAAGACGATGAACAGGACTACCATTAGAGGTCAAATTGGAGGTCTCTTTATAAGTATTCCGAAACAACCACAACAAATCATAAGTAAATTTCGAAGGCATTTCATACACATAAACCCTAATCGGCATCGAACCAGCAGGATAATACGATTCATCACCAATTCGCTCATTCTCTCTCTTCCAAATCAAATCATCCAGCTTCTTCACACTCTCATCGTCGGTGGAACTCGCTGTATCATCATTCAAATGCTTGGGGAGCTTGTTCGTGAGGAAATTCTCGAGCGATGCGACGAAAGAGTACTCGAAATTAGGGTTAGGGTTTGGGATTGAGAAAGAGGATTTAGAGGAGAGAGAAGGAGTAGCAGAGGAGAAGAAGAAGACGATGAAGAAGAAAGTGAGGAGAGAGAGAATGATGATGATGATTGGAGAAGTGTAGATTGGTCTTTCTCTTGAGGAAGATGAAGAAGAAGAGTGGAGGTGTTTTCCTGCCATTGTTGGAAGGTAGGAGAGAGAAAGTGAGCAGGAGAAGAGGGAATGCAGTGAAGTGGGAAAGTTTTGAGATCTCTGTTTTTGAGTGTTTGTGTTTCAGTTTTCACATCATGATCAATGGTAAATCGATGGAGTGACGGTAGAGGAAAGAACGACACTAGAGTAGCCCGTCGGTCGAGCCGTCCTTGCTCACGTTTTGAACCCGCTAATAAATAGTCATGTCGTGTTGGACTTTTGTTGAAATTAACTCAAGACAACAATAAAGTAAATGAAGCAAAATGAGAAAAATTAGATATCATGTTCAAACAAGTTTTTAAATAAGATCGCCTTACCATTAAGATTACCTTGACTCACAAAAGTGCTCTTATGGTAACAAACTTACAAAAGTAGTCTTACAATGTAGTCTTGTACAAATTCTTCTGATAAAGCTATAAGGGTTTAGATTAATTGGTACGACTTATAAACTTCTTAGTGTTTGGTGAACAATTGTGGTAGAGGAAATAATGACACTAGACCCGTCGGTTGAACCGTGCTAGTCCACATTTTGGACCCACTAATAAAAAGTCGTGTTGTGTTGGGCTTCTAGTGAACTTAAGACGAGATAACAAGTGAGTGAATGAAACTCAAGGAGCAAATTAGTTATCATATTTAAATAATTTTTTACGCGTAAATAAAATTGTCTTACCATTATAAGATCACCTTGACTCACAAAAATGTTCTTACGATCGTAATAAAAGCAGACTTACCATTGTAAGTCAGTAATGCATTTGTCTAATTAAGCTATAAGGGTTTGGATTAATTGGTACGAGTCGTACGACTTACGAAACTTCGTAGTGTTTGATAACAATTCGGGATGGGGGAGGTTGGTTAGGCTTCAAGCTTCAATCTTAGACTCCTAATCATTTGTTCGACCTTAACCATACTTGCGGTTTACCTCTAGAAAGAACTACTTTTTTGCCCCAATTTCGGGCTTCAACATTTATGACGGATTCATGGGAACTTATTATTAATAGCTAGTATATTATTAATGGTTCATATACTCTTACAGAAGTCATTGTGAAAGAAGATGATGGCTTTAATTCAAAGTAGATCAATGGAAGAAAATGGTAGGCTAAAGCAAAATACTCGTAATAGGTTTAACCTTTAGGATCAGAGGCCAAAATGACAACATGCTTTTAACTATTCTCCGTGTTTAAACAACGAACAGACCAATGGAACAATAATCAGGTAAACCACAAGCACAGCTCCTAGATAATTCAAGATTACTGGAACTAAAAATCCAAGAATCTGAGAAGAATCTACTTACAAAGGAGCGGCCAGACACAATGAAAATGTTAGCAATCCTTATAAAATTCACATGCATTTCCTTTAGCCTCAAACACATATCCAGGCATCAAACACATACATAGAACACCAGACAGCCACTCATATATGTATACGTAAAGTCAGAAGGAAATGAGATCATCTTTTGCTGAATCCGGTTTCTTTGGCTCAATTCCAGAATTTGTTGGTGTGTCAGATTTCGAGCCAAAGATCATCTCGTCAAGATCGTCCATCATGTCATCATGCTGCCCTCCATGAGAATTGCCTCGGGATCCTGATGGTTTCCTTACAAGTGACTCTTCTTTCCCAGACCGTGGAGACTCCTCAGGCTCAACAGCAACAGGAATCATGGCTGGTTCCGGTGCTGATGGGATCGTAGAGGGCTTTTTCATATCATCATATTTGGAGATGACTTTCTGGATCTCATCGTTTACATTTAGAGCCTCAAAAAGAAGAGCCTCATCATCACCAGCAGTCTCAATGATTCTCTGAATAGTGAATTGGGACTGGCGACACTGTTGTACCAACGTTGTAGTCAAGTCATCCTGCCAAAGGTAAGAAACGTCTTATTATTCAGTTAAGCATATCAGAGCAAGTGCATCATCGATTAAAAAATTAGAAAAATCCACCAGGGAATACCAAGTAACAGAAACAGTGAACATAAATTCAACTGCATAACATGAAGAAGTTACAAAATCGTTAAGTTGAAAAAATACTCGCTAGCACGTATCATAAGCAATACTGAGAGCAGTGAGAAGTGATAAAAATTAGTCTTTATACCAATAAATATAGCAGCTCATTTTTGCTCAACTTCCATACTACACAAAACTGAATAGAAACTCAATTTGAATTCCGAAGCCTGAAGGTCCATGCAATGGACATAGGTTCAATAATTTGTCTCAGCCTTAGAAGTCAAATGCAGACTCCCATGAATTTCACCTACTGAGCCATGCAGCAGACCAGGCATTCTGTTTCAGAAGGGCATGAGGAATTGCTAAATATTGAGTGTAGTCAAGAGATACAACAAACCTTTAGAGCAACTCAACCTAATTATAGAATGCAATAGCATTGTCAATTGTCATATGGCATCCGGAAAGGTAATTATAAGCCATACATATATTAGTGTTGCTGAGTGAAGAACAGTGGAGGAACATGTCAGGGCAGAGCGATTGTAATTTGGAAGAGGCGCTAGCTGGATCTAGTTCTACCGAAAACATCTCACCGCTTGCAGTTCTATCATTACGGAGCCAACAAAAGCAATCTTCAATTCTTCATACTCACAGCAAAGGAGTCTAAACTCTAAACTCTAAAACAGTCAATCTGAACGAATGGTACAGGGAACCCTTAAAAGCTAATTTTCGTCAAAAGCATCACTATGAACATAAATTGACCTTTGACACCTCCTGATCTGCACAGAGCATAATCTCAAACACTGGACAGAAAAATAAGGAAGAAGTGGGTGGCTGGTTCAAATGTAGGTCAGCTAGACTGATTGCTGGATTCCTCAACAAATTCTAATTATTCAATCACTTGGCATAGTCTTGCAACAATTCCATATTCAACTATATGGTCTAAGCAAGATCATATCACATGCAAAGGGCTTGATGCAAAAGTTCTACAAACCCTGTTCAATTGTGTAATAAGCCAGTCCTGAACCTCCTTAACCACTTTGTTCTCTTTACTCTTGCCTAGATTCTTCCTCTATGAACCTCCACAATGCCTCTATGACCAATGCCACCTTATCTCAGATCAACCACAAGGCCCACAATGCTAGACTGGAAGCCTAAAAACACTGGTTTGGAAACACAAGTGGATCGCAACTTCACTAAATATTTCACAAATTTAGGTCTTTCAATCAAACATCTATATTCTTCTGCCATAAAAATCTGAAGTGGCCAAAATGCAAAATGAATTTCAAAGAAGATTCTTCAATCCTAACATCTAGTCATCACAGCCATTAACTGCCCAAGCTATATAATATTGCATATCAAAATGTAATCATCTTCAAGAAGGGGAAAGAAAAAGAAACAGGCACAACGTAAATAGAGTATTAAAACAGCATATACTCAATCTCTAGCAACAGAGCAGTGTAGATGAATCATAGACTAGTAAAGAATCTTGGGTGGCTCAGCTGATAGCCTGTTAGAGCTATCTCACCTTTTCTGCTGACTACAGAATAAGCATGGCAGGATATCCAGCAACCAAATATCAGGAATTATAAATCCATCAAATCAATTGACTGGAATGAATAAAAAAAAAATTAAATATAAAAATCATGCAAAGTTGGTGAGGCAGTATATATTGAGTATGCGTAGGATCCCCAAGCATATTATGCTTCTAATGAAATCTAACACATATAATGCTTCTAAAGAAATCTAACACAAGCTCATCTCTAAAGGTACATCGAATGATCCTAAAAAAGTTGATATTCTATGATTTTAGAGGGAGCAACAGTAACAGAAATTACCTGCAGCACATCTTGTTGAGGAGAAGATGATAAAACAGTAGAAAGAAGTTCAATACAGTTCCGTGCTACATCAAAAGCTTCTTTTGTGTCTTCAGCAGAGAAGGTTTGTACAGGAACATCACGTTGTGCAAGAGTTGCATTCAATTCTGCTTCAGAGACGGAGCGTGGAGGGGTAAATACGGGTGCCAAACTCTCATCATCACGCCCTGGGAACCGGATTCCTCTCGACTTCAAGCTCTTTTAAGCAAAGGATACAACGTTAAAATGAAAGGGTAGGGTAATATATTACTCTATGCTCATTAAAATATTCCAATCTTAAGCAATACATGTTAAGTCTGCATTCCAAAGGTAGCATGCCAAATCTTATGTTTCTCCAATATAAACTTCCATAACAAGTAAGAAAAAGAGTCAAGCAAAAATTAGTACTTCGTATAAGAAAAAGGAGAAAACCTTAAATCATTCAATTCAGGAGCATTCCTAAAACAAATTGGATCATTTGAATGATATACTTTTGATGTGCATAAAGGAAAGTACAAAGTAAAGAGGCTATAAAAGTTATTGCATTCCAGGAAGTTTAAAAAGACTGTGATATATAGCCCTTTATAAAAGCTGAAAATTGCATATGACTTTCAATTAAAAAAAATAGTTACACATGAACTTCAAACCTAAATTATATACTGTCGACTTAGCATAAGTGAAACACATTATTAAACTACATGTTTTGATGCAGACATGCAGTCTTAAGAATTCACCATATGCTTCCCCCTTCCCCCACCCTACAGGAAATGCCTGATTATAAGGCTTATCAACTTATATAGTGAGTGTCAAAAAAAAAAAATAGTGAGTGTCTAATACGAGATGACCATGGCATGTGTAACACCAGAATTTTAATCTGAGTCTGAACAAATAAATACTCCATATTTGGATAAGATCACATAAAGGGGAGTGTCCAATCTTTCCCCCATCATCCTACATCTTGAATTTGTGAATCTACTAAGTTATCGAGTTGTATTTGCAAAAAAAGAAAAAAATAAAATAACAAATAATAAAATCCACATTCACTCCGAATACTCCGTAATAATTTGATAATTCTTTAATTTTTGACAAGCAGAAGATTGAAACATGATAAAATATATTTTCGTTCCAGTCAAAAGCAAAAACAAGAGAAGGCGGATATCCAAATAAAAATATGGACATACCTTGTATGTTTCTTCAAATACAGGCAAGTATCTCAGCTCATTTGTGGACTCCCCCCAGGATTCGATTAGCATAAGTGCCTTGTTCCTGTTCTTAACAACAGTTTGGGGGTCATCAATCAACTTTACCATCTCATCAAGAATTCTTTCTGACGCCACCTCAGAGAATGCCTTTTCACAGTTCTTAACAATAGTTTCGAGCAACACCATAGCCAAATACTGAATCCTAGGGGTCTTTAACATAATCCGCTTCTTTATCCCTCGAATCAAATCAACACTATTAACTCTCTCTTGATTAACCATGTCACATATCTCAAGATTCGTAGCCCAATCTGGCTCCTCAAGAGTCTCAGCAGTTGCTTCCTCGACGATTTTATCAGCCTGATTTGTTCCCCCTTGGAATAGTTCCTTCATCTTGAAGCTCATCGAGCTCACACCCTCACTCATCTTCTTACCAACCTCAGTCCCACCGATCCTTAGACGCTCACCCAATGAAGTCACTTTGTCCATCAAATTATCACTCATCTTTACAACCCCAAATTCAACAATCAACTTCAAGATACAACCTAACAACACCACTGGTTATCAGAACAGCAGCACTCGCGTCGACAACAACGACAAATTACCCCTAGATTATGCAAAACCAGCAAAAACAGCAATCAATAGAAAATTCCAAGTCAATTTAAAAGTCGTCAAGCACGTTATAATCTGGAAAAAATGCTACAAAAATAGGGTTTTTCCTAAAAAGTCAGAAATTAACCTAAATTATTAAAATTCCACCAAACATTATCAAAAATTCAACACGGAAACTATGTAACAAAGAAGATCCGAAGTTCAAAGACCTAGAAAAAGTCCAAACACAAAAAAAACAAGAATTGATCAAAATTTATTAAAAAGACAGTTACGAAAAAATCATCAAATTAGGTACAAAAATCCAACACAAAACTCAACTAAAACACAGCACTAATTCGAACAAATACAACAAATAATTAGCTAAAACACAGTCTAAAATTAGTAAAAAACAACGCAATTGAAGTAACAATACGGTCAAATTGAAGTTGACTAAGCAGATCGAACAAATTACAGAGAAAATGCATCTTTAAATTGCAGAAATATAGCAAGAAATTAAAGAAAAAATGGATAATCTTACCTTGGAAATGAAGGTAGATGATGAAGAACGAGAAATTCGGAGGAGAGAGAAAAAGGGGAGAAAATGTTGCGATAATTAGAAGAATACGACGATGATGGATGACTTGAGATAGAAGGTTCTTCCGATGATATTTTTAATTTTCAGTACTTGGGAAAGTACTTGCTTCTTTTCTATTCTAGTGTGTCGTCATTCGTTCGCTTTTTATGCGTTACCTAATTTACCCTTTCTCTAACAACCACTTTCACATACATTCTTGACTTTTTTTTGCAATTTTTATTGTACAATCGGTTGTACGAGTATGTGAATTATGTACTCGTATATGCTTCGGGCCTGTTCTCTATATATTATTTTTAGTTCGGTTCAGTTTATTTTTTAATTTTTTTCTCTCATAAAATGTTCAGTTTATTTCTTAATTTCTTTCTCTTATAAAATATTTAGTTCAGTTTAGTTCAGCTCCAATAAGTTTAGGGCATGTTCTCAATGACTGAACTCAGCTGAAGTGAACTGAATATTTTATAAGAGAAGGAAATTAGGAGCTGAACTGAACTGAAAAGGATATTTTATAAGAGAAGGAAATTAGGAGCTGAACTGAACTGAATTTCAACGTAAGAGAACAGACCCTTAGTTCAGTTCAGCTCAATTCAGTCAATCAGAACAGGTCTTTGCAGATTATAGAGTTTTTTAATTACTCTATAATATATATTTTTTTTCTTTTGCGGAATAAGTTGTATTTCGTTCATTTTATATAGTTATATCATAATTTATTATTGTGGTAAGTAAATACAAAATGCTTGTAAGTTTTGCAAATGCAAAAAGCATTCATGTAAAATGAGATGTAATTTTTTTTTGTTTTTTTGTTTTTTGTACTTGACTCTATTGTTGAATGTATATTACAATGATATATGTAGTGAAAATTAATTACTAATGTGTATATAAACCCATCATATTTTATTGCTCATTGATTTAGATATGTTAAAGGAGCATCTCAACCAAAAGCTTAAGCTGATTGTTGAGGCTCAAGAATATTATGTTTTTTTAATGTGATTATATTGCATTGTAGGATGTCAAATTATAAGTATGCTTTTAAATTGCTTCAAAAACAAAAATAGTATGCTTTTAAAAAGTTTTACACAGATATTATTAAATATAACAAACTAATAAGAAGGAAAGGCTAATCAAGTAATAAGTGAAAATAACAATGCGAATAACTCATGCATTAAATAATTTTAAAAAGGAAAATTATGCACTAAGAAACTAGTAACATACTTCGTATTAATTACTCTCTTTCATTCCTTTTGTTTTGGACGTTTGGAATTATGAACGACTAATAAAGAATTGTGTAAAGTACAAGTATATTTTCCTTAATTCAATTATTGAAAGTAAACTTTTATTTAGATTAAGAATAGTACATATGGGGTGACAAAAAGTATAAGAGATGGGATAGAAAAAGCTAATGAGTATTGAAACCCATTAAAGTGTTATAAATAAATAGTACAAATGCACATAGAAAATTGAAGACAATTGAATATTCAAATTGTAATGCAAGGATAATTTTGTCCAAAATACATGTCTTTGAAAAAATCCTAAATATTAAGAATTCTCGTAAAAGGGAACACCTTAATGATAACGTACATATAAAAAAAAATTTAAAAAAAGGAACGGGGAAGTAACATATACTTCCTTCGTTTTCTTTTACTTGCAACACTTCCTTGAAAAGAAAATGTTACAATACTTGCAATACACTATAAAAGGAAAGTTATTTTAGGGAAAAAACTATATTATTTCCCTTATTTAAAGCACATGACCTACTAAATTACACTCCTAACAACCACTCATCCCATTTTAAAGTGTATTATATCATGTAAACGCCACATTTCTTAAATACCGTGAAAAAAGTGTGTGTTGCATCTAAAAGAAAACGGAGGAAGTACATAATAGAAATTCTTAAAATAGCAATTCTTAAATACTTTAACTCTTTAAGATAAGACACATTAACACATGGTTAATCTTAGGATAATTATTGCTTATACTTTGTATTAATTAGAGGACAAAATGTCCATGAGTACCTAGGAGTAATATCACTTGAAGAATGATTTTCTTAAACTTTTTTCATCCTGTCTTAATATACGACTGACCAACCAAATTAGATCAGACCATATCATATGAATTGAATATGCGCTTAAGGAGAAAGTCTTTGCAACCGAAGTGAGCCAAGGAGCCAAGTGACATGCCGACGCTCATAATTTTTTGCCAGCACGTAGTTGTGCTGTCAGTAAGAAGGGAGTCGGCGCAGCCTATACTTAGGGCCTGTTCTCTTATGCTGAAATTCAGTTCAGTTCAGTTCAGTTCAGCTAAGCTAAGTTCAGCTCAATTCAGTTCATTTCAGTTTAGTTCAGTTCAGTTAAGCTCCTAATTTCCTTCTCTTATAAAATATTAATTTCTCTTCAGCTCAGTTCAGTTCAGTTCAGTTTAGTTCAGTCAATGAGAACACGCCCTTAGGTTATGTTCGACAAAACGCAGCATTATTTGTTAATAAGCTGTTAGGTGTTAAGATATATAATAAGAATATGATTGTTCGGTTAATAATTATTGACTAATTACTTTATCCGTTTTGAAATATTTACTCAATTCCTCCATGCACATAGTTTTAGAAGAAATAAAAAAAAAAGTAATAAAATATGGAGGTAGTGGGGTTGGTGGAAATCAATTAAATATTACAAATTTTTGTATGTGGCCGGCCACATGGTGCGGCAGGGGTTACTTGTAGGGTGTTACTGGTTTTGTCAGGGGTTACTTGTAGGGTGTTACTGGTTTTGTCAGGGGTTACTTGTAGGTGTTACTTGTATGGGTGTTACTGGTTTTATCAGGGGTTACTTGTAGGTGTTACTTGTATTCTGGAGTTACTTGTATGGGTGTTACTGGTTTTGATTAGGGGTTACTTGTAAAGTGTTACTGGTTTTGTCATGGGTTAGTTGTAGGTGTTACTTGTATTATGGGGTTACTTTTATGGGTGTTACTGGTTTTGGTCTTGTAGGGTGTTACTGGTTTGATAGGGGTTTTGTTCTAGAGTTACTTGTAGGAGTTACTCAGAATACAAGTAACCCCACGATACAGGTAACCCATACAAGTAACCTCATAATACAGGTAACACCTTACAAGTAACCCATACAAACCCCAAAATACAAGTAAGCCTAAGATATAAGTAACCCTTGCCGCACCATGTGGCCTGCCATACTGAAAAACCTCTGATTAAATATTGTAAAAGCTTTGCAAATAAGGAAATAAGGCAAATAAAACTAAAACGACCGAAAATAAAAAGTAGAGCAAGGTGTAACATTTTTTTTTTGGTGTTTAGAGAGCCACAAGGGCAGGGTGAGAATTGATCTCATAATTTCCTGAAACCGGGAGAGAATTTCTAACCATTTGATATATCCCTCACTCGCATTTGAAGAAAAAAAACCGAGTGAACCTGAATTAGGATCCAAGCCAATACGGATACGGGTAAACGGGCAACTCAAAAGTCCAGAAATGGTTTTCGAGTTTGCAGTCTCTTCAAAACCACCATTATTCTCTGCAGCAGTAAAACCCCTTTCTCTCTCCTTAAACCACCATTTTCTCTCTCCTCATCTTCAGCTGCCCCCAAACATTCAGGGCGGCATGCTGATCATCATTTGATCTTGCTATTCTTCTTCATTCTTTCGATTGAATTTGATGATGACGATTATTTTTTAGGTACTAATTCTTTTTCGAATCATATTTTACTGTTGCTAAATTTTAATTATTCGTATTCATGCGTAATTTTTCAATTGATTTTGCGATTTTTGCTATGTTAGTAGCTTTTTAGTTCTTATTTATCCCTGAAATTTATGAGATTCCAATGATTATAATTGATTTTTGCCAATATTTGGATTGCGATAGTTTAAATAAATTCAATAATTAGCTTTTGGGTGAATTGAATTGTTACATATTAATTGTTTGCTAATATTTTTGGGTGAATGATGGTCAAATGTGCTTTCTTTAGCTATATATGTGGTTTTTAGCATATTGAGTTCCTTATTCAGCAGTATATAAATGTGTCAAATTAAAGACGGCAGTAGAATATAAACGTATCAAATTAAACACGGGAGTCCCTTTTCGATGTCGGTTATTCGTGGGCAGAGTGATTGAATAACCAAATGTTGTTGATGTATTGTTAGTAGTGAAGTGTTTGGAGTATCTAGGTTAGCTGAACCATGTCATAAAAGAATTATTGTAGATATCACTATAGTTATATATCGAACTCTTAATTCTTGTCACGCAGCTGTATCTTGTCTCGTTTGTTTGATTGTATCGATTGTGAAGGCTGTAGGGAGCTAGTGACATTGTAGGTGTTTCTTGTTATTAAAATTTAAGTGGACCTCATCATCTGGTGATGAGATGTCTTTTATTGCATTCTATTTGATATCTTAATTCAAGCGTATTTGCTGATTATGAATGTTGGAATGATTGTTGTATATAATTAACTTATCTGATTTTCTAGGTTGCTATTGACTGGTTATACGATTTAAGGTGTTGCCTGGAGTAATTGTTTCGGCCTCATGATGATGGCTCTGACATGGCTAAGTGCAATTCTAGTTGGAGCAGGGTGTCTTGCATTGGGATACTACTTTGGTGCGCGTCATCCTGCTCGTTTCTTTGTTTCTGCTACTGCACCTAAAGATAGCGTGACCAAAAGTGGAGGCAAGAAAAATCGTTCTCAAGAGTCCCTTGAGATCGAGAAGCTTGCTGACGTTCTTGAAGATTTCAAAATGGTGCATTGCCTTTCCTACTCTTTCCTTTCTTAAGAGATAGTTGCAGCATAAGTTGTTTGAGTATGAAGTCGATATGAAGTCCATGAAGAATTGATGGTGTTTTTGTTTGTTTTTTCCAAAAGGTATTGGTTGTGAGGAATGACTTGAAGATGGGTAAAGGAAAGATTGCTGCCCAGTGCAGGTAGTGGACCACTGGCCCCAAATCTCTTCTTGTCATCTGTTTTTTTTTTTTTTTTTTTTTTTTATTTATTTATTTATTGCTTAATTATTCTTTATATGTTTGTGGGAACATTTCTTCATTAAGAACTGTAAAGGTGTGACCGTGTGATAGATTGTCGACTTGGTCCTGTCAGGCTCTGATTTGTGCCACAATCTTACTTTGTTAATTGTTGTGCCCCCTTAGATTTATTTTAATTCATCTTTTGTATTATACCATTCTTGTGTTTGTTTGAATTTTCTGCCATCACATGACTATCTGGTTCTTTTTATTAAAGCTGATGTCTGTTCATGCCTCTCTGTGCCTCTGCGGCATATTATCCTGTCCAGTCCCTTAGAACTGTCACATTGTGTCATTTTGATGTGTATGTTTTATTTTATTTTCCTTCTATATGTGTTAAGTTCATGCATTTGAGTTACAGGATTGCTCCTTTATTAGCTTAGTTTTCCAGTGGTTTAATATTGTGTTTTGATCTTCTGAGCAGTCATGCAACCTTGGGTCTCTACAAAAAGCTTCTTAATCGAGCCCCAAAAGCATTAAACAGGTGAGTTCAACTGTGAAGTTTCTTTGTTGATATAATTCCTATTTTACGTTCATGTACTATACTTAGCATTATCATATCTTTGTGCAGGTGGGAGATGTGTGGACAGGTTAAAGTAGTTGTCAAGATTGAAAGCGAGGAAGACTTGCTTGTCTTACAGGTGAGAATGCTTCAATAACTTTCGTAGGCTAAGAAGTTTTTGAATATTTTGGATCTGTTATTGCCATTTATCTTATTATCTGCTAGAAGTCTCAGGAACCTTTCCTTCCTCCCCCTTTTTATGTCCTATATACGTAGAAGCATCGAATCGCTTCTTTTACTAGGAAAGGAAAAGTCTCAATCTGAAGAGTAAAAGCTATATCTTTTGCGTTATTCCTTTTTCCGTATGAAATATGTATTACCCTTCTTTGGTAGTTTCCCCTTTGTTTTATTGCTCCTATTTCCTCCTCCCAGTAATAATATTAATAAAGCTAAGCCTTGCTTGATTTCTTAAAGTTACTGTTGTTTTTTCCTGCAGTTTTGTATTGGACTGGTAATCTGATTTGTATACTTTAATGATTAAGTGAAACTTTAAAGGAGAAAGCTTGGAAATTTGATTAAACAGATTAATGGTTTCTTACAAAAGGTAGTAGGTTTAGCCTACTAAGCTCATTTTAGTGACTTGAGGTCACAACTCAAAGGATTCACTCCAAAATTCTGCCTATCCCCCTGTTCCTTCCCTCTACCTATTTATTTACAATTTCTAAGATGATTCTAGATGGTTTGTCTTCTTTTGAGCCCATGTGGCATCTCTTGATTCCTTGCGTAATTTCCCTTATGTACTATATTTGATGACTACCAACATACTAAGCTACCAATAATAACCCTTAGCTAAGTCGGTTTCATTACAAGTTTTTAGTACTTGTCACTTTCTTTTGTCTTAAGACTATGTTCATTCCATGTTGCTTTCTCACTGTACTTCCCTGCTGATTAGAAGTCATCCTATCTTGTGTGGTAATAACGCTGAATTAGTACTGGAATCACTACCATTGACCATTATAGTATCCTTATATAAATGCCCATGTGTTGACATGATGTTTTCTGTGGTAGCACTGAACTTGTTGCATTTGTTCTGATAATTTATGTTATCATAGTTTCATTAGTGCTATGCTCTTAAGCTTTTTGTTATGAAACCTTTTTTTTTTTTTTTTTTTTTTTCCCGGGTGTTGGTGGGGGTGGTGGTGGCGGCTTAATGAATGATGTTTTTCTGAACTATTTCTAACCTTTTTGATTTTCTGATCACGGTATCTATCTTCCAATTGCAGGGAAGGGCAAAGTCAATTCACATACCTACACATATTGTAATAGATGCTGGAAGAACTCAAATAGCTCCAAGTAAGATGCTGAATCAATTTCTGTTAATATTTCTACTTTTCTAGCATGTTTATACTGTGCGTAAGTTCTTTTTTTTGATGAAATGTCCCAAGTTTCTTATTCCTCATGGGCTTGTTTTGTTTAATGAGCTTATTTTCTTCCAAGCCATCTCTTGGATTGATTTAGCTTGTAACCGTGGTCAAACAATGATTTACCTACAGTACCCACCTAGTGCAGCGTAGCAGTACTTGCATGTACTTGCATTAGAGAAGCTGCTAAGATGAATTTAAACCTGAAAGGCTGAAACTACAAGAATTTTTGGAAACCTCATTATTCTTAATTAGTGTGCATGTAGGCACATTTGTGTGTGTGTTAAGTTTGTGTCTTAACAATTACCACTTAGGGGAATATAAATGAATCTCCTGGAAGAATAATTATAAATACTTAAGTGGTTTTACTCTCCATCTTTGATGCTGCTCAGGCATACAATTTTCATATCTTATCAAATAAAACTGCAGATGCCTTTTTTTTTTTTCTTGGCCACTTCTCTAATGTTTTTCAATAATGTATTTCTTTCTTATCCTGCAGATTCGCGAACAGTCATGGCTGTTCTTGGTATGTATCCACTTTTGTATAGTCCTTGGATTTTACCTACTCCCTGTCTTAATATTATATTATCACCTCCAAGACCACATGTCTAAATAATATTTGCTATTGCAGGACCAGCCGACATGGTTGATGATGTAACTGGAGGATTGAAGCTTCTGTAATTGGTTGCTTTACTGAAGTTGGTTGCAATTTAGGCCCGGCGACAAGGACATGCCTTATATTATGATATCTGAAAACAGAGATCTCAAAACCTCAAATAGCAGGAGCGGCAATTGAACCATGCTGAAAGTACTGCCACTGAGTCGTTACTAATTGGGGGCCGATTTCTTTTCATTTCAATCAATTTAATGGATGAATACTACTAGGTTGATCCTTCTGTTGGCTACTTAATATGGTAATACTGATTTTATTTGGATAAAGTTGGTCCTTCTACCTTCGCATTTTTTTTAATACTAGTAATAGATTGCTGATGTTGTGGAGAACAATCATGTGAAGGGATTAGACAATGAATTTTATCATTCCATGTATTGCTTTGATTATTGTCGTCGTATCGTTTTACATGGGAAGGTTATCCTTTATAATGAGGATTGTGAATACTAATAAATAGGGGAAGAATGGCCATATTTGAGAGTTTTCCTTTGAACTTTTTCTTATTAAGGTTATCCCATCTTCTCTTCACCACCCTTGCCTAAATCTTATACTCCGTCGTGACTCAAATTGTGTCCCAAACGAGTATGGTTATTATTTTTATCTAATACTCGTTCATTTCAAAATTAACTTTTTAGGCTCAAACCTCTCTTTTAATCCTCTCTCAACCAAATACGCCCATTTAAATATTGACCGGCTAAATTTCCCTTCAAGCCGCGAACCCCTCTTCTAGGCTTTTAGCCAAAATCTCTGTATCTTTGTCCAATAAAATATTCTTTGTATTTCAAGCAAATGGTTGTGGACAAATGATTGAAAGGATAATCTATAAAATGATTGAAAAGATAGTTTATAAAATGAATGAAAAGATAGTTTATGAAATCAAATAAACATGCAATGATGCAAATTGCTTACTTACTACCTCCGTTCCATATTATTTGCAACGATTTGACATAAAGTAGAGAGAAAAAATGTCTAATCGTTGCAAATAATATGTAACGGAGGTAGTATATATTTTGTACTAGAAACCACGTTATTCATGAGGAGGACCCACAAAAACTGAATTAACCAATCACAAAATGTACAGTTGACTTTACCTATATTTATACATCATCAATTTTCATGGTTAAATCTTGTCCAATACAAAGACAAACCAACATTGTAGGAGCAATAACAACTGTAAGATCAGAGAGCAGCAAATCATGGCCGTTGGATATGAAAAAAATAATGGTGATGATGATCTTGATGTTGTTAGTGAAGCAAAGTGTACAACTGAGGTCCACTCATCCATTACATGAGGTTGTAGATAGGATAAACCACCACTCTTCTTACATTGGCTTAGTTTTAGCCTTTCCTGCTGAAGAAATTCCTCTTCAAAACTCTGGTCTTTTTGTGCCCAACTCTAGGAATCCATACATCCAACTCGCCGGTAATTTTCTAACTCTCGTCTTCTCTATATTTATCTTGATATAGTCGATGTCTGTTTAAATGGAATCATGTTTATATTACACTCGGATGTACCTGCATGATTAAGTATCCTATAAGTTGTACAATCAAAGCAAAGTTTTTATTGATGTCGTATTACTCGTGTACAACTTTTAGAATATTGTTATTGAAGTCGTTAGTCTACCTTCTTATGGGTACTTAAAGAGTTTAAGATTTTTTTTTTGAAGGGAAAGAGTTTAAGATTTTAGATCTGAGTTAACGTTATTCTTTACTAAATATGGCAACATGTTGAAGGGGCATTGAAACTATCAAATTATAAATTACAGTATAATTTGAAGTGACTTTTCATTTTTCTTAATATTTTTAATTGACATTTGAATATGTACTGGACCAATGAAAACATAAGAAAAATAATGACTCGGATAGCTTTGTTTTGGCTTTTACAGTACTAACTAAATTTAAATACAGTAAATTTTTTCAGCCAAAAATGCAAAAGTCAGGCCAATTTCACATAATCAGCAAACATAGTACAATTTATTTAACCAAATATTATACTGTATTATTTGTGTCAATAAAAATATTTAACCAAATATTATCATAAATAAGTTTTTAAATTTAACAAATTATTAAGTAAACCTGTCAATTATTGTCATTATTTTACTTGTCTATATTGCTTGTCATTAAATAATTACAAGTTGGTTAATATAATATACAAAGTATCTTAAAAATATTTGTCTTAATCTTGTACTTGTATATTTTTATCAGGCAGGAAATTCAACATTGGGAAAATTAAAGGTGTAGATGTAATCTATGTCTTAACAGGAGAGCAAACAGTTAAGTTCCTTCTATAACACATCCACAATTTCATACTAATTACAAGTTTAAAAAATCTAATTTACTGCTTAATGCTGTATTATACTCAGGTAAATGCTGCACTTACAGTACAGGCTCTGGTTCAGACTTTTAATATCAGGGGAATTGTTCATTATGGCATTGCTGGTTGTACTAATACTTCTATGTCTGTCGGAGATGTCGGCGTGCCACATTCTTTTGCCTTCACCAGCTCCTGGAAATGGCTGGTAAGATGAAAGTATATCCTGTACATTATGTAATTCAGAAGTATGTCCTGTAATTTAATTATGCTGTTTTCGTGTCGTTGGTGGTATGAAGGATTTTGGGTCTGATGAAACGAGTGAAAATGAGCTGAAATTCGGGGCGTACAATCTTCCAAATTCAGGAGAGAATTTACTGGAAAGAATTCAGTTTACTCCTGTACAACTTTTCTCTAATAAGAAGGCAATGCAAGAGCTTTTTTGGTTTCCAGTTGATGCTCATTGGTATAATCTTGCTACCCAACTTCAGGTATAAATAAATATTAGACCGTCTGCACGAATTTTTAATGTGTCATTGTGTCGAGAACTTATTTTAGTTGTGAATTGAACGTGTCATTAATTATTTGAACTTATATTTGTCGAAATATATATTTGTAAGGTGAAAAGAACAAAGTCGTGTAGTGACTAAGGATATATAACACGGGTTTTAAATGATGACAGGGATTGAAGTTGCAGCAGTGTTTAAATGAGACTGCTTGCTTACCTAGAGAGCCAAAACTAATATTTGGACTAAGAGGCTCAACCGCGAATGTGTTCATGTCTAATTTGGCATTTGCAAAGTTCCTCTACCAAGAATTCAGTATATCTACAGCAGATGAAGAGAGTGCTGCAATTGTACATGTTAGTATTTTACAAATCAAATCTAAATTCTCGCTTATTATTACTTAGGGCCTATTCTCGTTGACTGAACTCAGCTAAACTGAACTGAACTGAACTGAACTGAAATGAATATTTTATAAGAGAAGGAAATTAGGAGATGAACTGATCATGAACTGAACTGAATTTCAACGTATGATAACAGGCCCTTAGTCCTGTTTTCTATACGGACAACACTTAAAATTGCTAATGATCAAGATGAGATGTTGAATTGCTTTGTGTTTGGTGCAGGCATCACTTTCGAATGGAGTACCATGTGTTGTGTTTCGTGGTGTATCGGATGTGGCTGGTGGAGAGAAACTAGCATTAGCTGGTCTAAGTTCTCTGGCTGCTATCAACTCCTTTAAAGTTGCAGCAAAATTTGTAGAACTTATTGGCAAGAAGAAAGCTATATTTTAAATAAGCTTAGATAGTACTTGTACCTTAATCTGGCTTTGTTTCTCCACTCTTAGGCAAGTCAGAATTAAAGTTGTAGAGGCTATCATTGAATAAAATTGTTACTTCTTTCATCATCTGTTTCCATGTAATTGATTGTGTATGCTTGTTCATTCCTAGCTTCTATGTAAAGTATTAGGCAATATTTCTGACATTATTATACGAATTAAAGAACCTAAAGAATAAAAAGCGATAAAAAGACACACGAAATTTAATTTACGTGGTTCTGCCAATGTGGCCTAAAGAATAATTAATTGTGTATGTATGCTTGTTAATTCCTAGCTTCTATGTTGTATTAGGCGATCTTTACGACATTATGAGTTCCATAAACTAAAGAATAATAAAAAGCGAAATAAAGAGACACGAAATTTACGTGGTTCGGCCAATGTGGCCTACTCCACGGGCGGGGACGATCATCAAATCACTTCCACTATGGTGATGTGAACAAGAGTACAATCATATCATATCTCCAAACATACGTAAATCCATTCTACCATAATATACTCCACTACTACTGTACTACGTCTGAAGTTGTTAACCCCATTCAAGATTCTACCATCTTGGTCGTCAATGTATCATCTTCTCGGGTGGCAGTACGAAGGCAGCATGTTGTGGCCTCCTTTTAAGAGTATCGAAACCAGTACGACAGATCGGGTGTGGAGGTAGGGCGCGGATGTCGATCAAACAAGTCTTCTTTCTTGCTTGGTTGTACTTTTGATAACCGTCCTTCAATTTTCTCTTAGTGTTCTCCAATTTTGCTGTCAGACCATTATTGCTTTCTTCGACATTAACCTTTAGAGATGGCGGCGAAGATATCTTTGATGATTTGAGGAGTTCTCTACGAAGTACCTTCAACTCCTTCCCTTTGCCGTGACGCTGCAAAGTCGAAACCGAGGGCAAGGACAACGGTTTTTCTTGAAAATCGAACTTTTGTTGGACAACTTTTAACTCCTTGGCTTTTTTTTGACAACGTTGTTGTGTTGTTGGCTTCAATATTATTGGTAACTCTTTATTCTTGAGATTTTGAAGGAGACGCTTCAAATCTTTGCCTTTTCCTTGACGACGTTGTATTGGCAGCGGTGATGATATCGGCAACGACGATGGTTGCGAAAACTCTTGAAGAATTGTATCCATCATTTTGTCATCCGAATTAGTGGCTTGTTGTTGCTCCATTGAAACAGAAGTATTCACAACTTCCAAAGTTGTATCTAAATCATCTAACTCCCAAGAAACCTTCTCCCACATTGCGGCAACATCATCTATACTACTGTCTTCCATCTTAACTCACTTTCTCTCTCTCTCTCTCTTTTTTTTTGTTTTTTTGAAGGAATAATTGAATGTTGCAATAATGATTTCACTTCCTAAATATATATAAATCTGTAAGACTTACTTGGTGAAAAAGGAATTAGTTTAAATTTTTGGAAAGTGGCAAGCAATAGATAATTTATTTTTTTGAAAGGAACGAATATAGATAATCATTAAGACATTAATATCTAACTAATGAGATTATGTATTTATAACTTACTTTTTAACTGAAAAAATAAATAAGTGTGGTAAAAATAATAAAAACCTATAAGATCAAAGGTTAGAAACCTTTTTTTTTTTTTTTTTTTTTTTTAAAAAAAAACCTACCCGAAGCTACTTCCTTGTAATAAGATAAGGTCAAACTTATAAAATTTTAACCCTATGTTGTAATTACTATGTATGATAGTAAATTATCAGATCATGTAAATTATTGTTAGGTGCTCTTTAAATAAAATTATTGTTAGATTTATTGCAATTTGATTGTATCATATGTCACATTTTATAAATTTTATCAATACAAAACTAAAGATATTAATGGTAAAAAACAAACGGAGAAAATGTATGTTTGGGACCCAACTTTTGAATTTTATGTTGTGTATAACAATAATCAAGAAATGCAATTAGTTGAGAAAATGGAAAAATAGTCATGTTTATAATATTTTTTTGGAAATTTTGTCAAAAACTACCAATTAAAGTGCGTGTTTTGAAAACAACTACCTATTAAAAAAAAAATTTAAAAGAACTACCACAAAGTTGTAAAAAGTTTAAGTAGCACTACCACTTTAATAATTTCAACTAGAATATTCGGCATGTAGGTTCTACTTTTTACCTTTACCTCATAAAATCATAATCTAAATTAACTAAATTACCCTTCATAAAGTTAAAAAGTGAGACCCAAATACCGGAGATTTTAGCCAAAATTGTTAAAGTGGTAGTGCTAGCTAAACTTTTTATATCTTTGTGGTAGTTCTTTTTTAAAAAAATGTAATAGGTAGTTGTTTTCAAAACACGTGCTTTAATTGGTAGTTATTGACAAAATTTCCTATTTTTTTTTCATAAACTCCGTGCGTAGATTGTCCTATGAACATAGAAGTTGAAAAATAGAAATAAACATAGTAGTTATTCGATTATTTACTAATAATATACTTTTTTTTTGAAGGCTTACTAATAATATACTTCATTCATTCTAAATTAATTAAAAGATATATTTTGACTTGACACTATTGACAAACTTTACTCTAATTAACTTTTAATAATTTATAAATAAGAAATTCACGTTAGATGTGGGATCTTGTTAAATTCAAGTTAATTTTTTATGAAGTAAATTATACTTATTGATAATTAGAAATATTGACAAATTAATTCTTGCATCGACATAGTTGAAAAAAGAAACATGTCATAATTGTCGTCTAATTTTGTATGGATGAAGTACTCAAATTCCCGAATAATGCATACCATTTTTTACAAGATCATACACACAATTAATATTAGGGGTGTTAAAATCCTTCACGATCCAAAAATTGGCACACTAAAGAAACCTAAGCTTATACACACAATACTCGATTGAAATGTTGTGGCAGAATCAGTAATTTTAGTTAAAAAAAAATTAATCAAAGTAATATATGCTTTGGTTTTAAAGAAGTGAAGGTTTAATTTCAAAAGCAATGTATGCTTCAACTTTAACTGTTTGATAACTTTTAATTTGCCCAAGTTTAAATTTTATTTTAATATGTAATTTCTTACGTATTCATTATTATTATATACTATAAAGGCTAAATTGATTGATTATGTAAGTTTTTTGTAAGATAAAATTTATTATTAGAAAAATAATAACTTTTTTAATACAAAGAATAATTTAAACTACTTTTAAAATACAAAGAATAATTATTTTGAATTTAAGGGTGTTGATGCTAATTGGTAAACTTTCACTAATAAGAATAAAGTGATGATTGTTACAATTTATTATTTATAGCTAACTTAAACGGAAAAAAAGAGAGAACCTCATAACCTTAAATTGTTACAATTCTTAATAGGGCACTTTGAGTGAGCCAATCTCTTTATCCTATCGTGTTAAATTTTCTTTGTTTTTGTCCCATCTTCTCTCAACCACTCTATTTAAGTGTGACATATGTTTAAAAATTAAATAAACATGAATACATAATATCTATTGTTATTTTAAAAAATGCGACAAATTCTTCCAGACAATATTCTGTGTATGTGTATTATTATATAGCCATATAGAGTGAATACATAACTATAACTTGATAGAATGTCCCATAAGCCGAGAGCTTAGCCAAAAATTTTAGGTGATGTGCACAAACAAATGAAACAAGCAATTTATAAAGATATACGTCTAAAGTTAATGATCAAATGAACAGAAATTTTCTCTAAGTTACTAAATATGTCACATAATTTGTAATTAGATGATGAGGATGATTTATTTCCCAACCGAAATAATTTCAACTATCTTTTTAACACCTTTATAAACTCCTCTAAATTCGTTTAATTTCCCTCATAACAACTTTGCTTCTCCTAATTAATTCAATATATGAATATGCTACTCATAATCCTAGCAAAAAAGGCAATGTATTTCTTGTTTCTTTTCTTGTTGACTGTCTTTTCTTTTCCCATGTTTATTCACTCTTCCCCTGTTTCAGATCCTGAACTAATAGTTCAACAAGTACAAGGGTATGTTACATTAATCACGTTTCGTCTCCCTAATCAATGATACAAATTAGTACTAGTAGTTTTAAGTGATCAAAAATCACAAATTATTCTAACTAGACGCGTTTCTTGTAGTAACATCATGTATATGTAGCTTACAACATAGTTGTTTTCCTTATTGCAGGACGATTAATGCTTCTAGGAGTAGTTTAGCGGCCTCCTCATGTCGTCGGTCAGGAAATCCAATCGATGATTGCTGGCGGTGTAACAAGAGCTGGGATAAAAACCGGCAGCTATTGGCTGATTGTGCTATTGGCTTTGGTAAGAATGCTGAAGGAGGCAAAAAGGGCAAAGTTTATGTCGTTAAAGATGCTAGTGATGATGCTGTCAACCCAAAGAAAGGCACATTGAGATATGGGGTTATACAAGATGAACCATTATGGATAATTTTCGTTATGGATATGGTGATCAAGCTCAAACAGGAGTTGATGATCAATTCCTTCAAGACCATAGATGGAAGAGGTGCTAATGTGCATATAGCCGGGGGACCGTGCATCGTCTTACAAGAGGTTAACAACATCATCATACACGGCATTCATATACATGATTGCAAGCGAGGAGGGAATGCATATGTAAGGAGAACTCCAACACAATATGGTTGGAGAAGTAAGTCAGATGGTGATGGGATTTCCATCATCTCATCAAAGCATATTTGGGTGGATCATTGCTCTCTGTCTAGATGCACTGATGGCTTGATCGATGCCATTCATGGCTCCACCGCGATAACCATATCTAACAACTACATGACAGATCATAACAAGGTGATGCTCTTGGGGCATAACGATAATCATAAACAGGACAAGAACATGCAAGTAACAATAGCCTTCAACCATTTTGGAGAGGGCTTGGTTCAAAGAATGCCAAGGTATATACGATTTAATATAAAGTTGAAACAATCTTTATATGTCATTTTTATGCACTAAATTTGATATTTTGATCCATTTTTCAGGTGCAGACATGGCTATTTTCATGTCGTAAATAATGACTACACTCAATGGCAAATGTACGCCATTGGAGGCAGTGCAGGACCAACTATCAACAGCCAAGGCAACAGATTCCTAGCTCCTGATAATCGGTCTAATAAAGAGGTGATTTTCACAAAATCGCTAACTATTTACTGTTAACTTTTCCGGCCATATCTAAACCTGACAAAACTAAACCAAGGACCCAAGGTTTTAGTGTTGTACCGTTCCCCATTACCTAATTTAGCTTATGCCATACTTAAATCCGAATTGTACCTGAAATGACAAGACCAGTTGATGAAACAAAATCCAAAAATGACTCGAACCAAAAAACCTAAACGCTAATCAGCAATAGCCAATAGACAGTAGCCTTGGCCTAAGATGACTTGAACCGAAGCAAATGACTGATTTCCTTAATGACTTGATCCAAATGATTTGTAACAGGTCACTAAACGGGAGAATGCAGCAGAAAAGGAATGGAAGAAATGGAATTGGACATCAGAAGGGGATTTGTTTCTAAACGGAGCACGATTTGTAAAATCCGGAAGTGGATCATCCTCACCTTATGCCAAGGCCATGAGCTTAAGCGCTCAGCCAGCTTCACATGTGGCTTCAATGACAAAGGAAGCAGGTGTGCTCAAATGCCAGAAAAACAGAAGCTGCTGATCTATTTCTGAGCTCATATAGGCCAATTAACCCATAGTTTTATTGTTTCATTTGTTTTTTGTTCTTTATTTTTCAATATATATATTATAAATACAAGAAAATAGACTCAGCTTTCTTCAATGAAACCTTTCATAAAGGGATAAAAACAGGGATAAAAGTAATCACAGATTCACAAATGTGTTATTGCTTCATTACATATGTTCAAATGATTATTCTAAAGTGTTATTAAACATGAATTTAAGAAACATGTTTTATCCATAGAACTTTGACCCAAATTGTTGTTTTTTGTATGAGAATGCTTGAGGTAAATTCAGGCTGCTGGTGATTTTAAACCAAAAAAAGGAGTCAGGCACTTCATGTACTTTACAAAACTCCATTAGGAATGTTCAATGATATACCATCAACTTTAAAATTATTATTAACACGTTTCACTTCCTCTTAAGCAACCCAGTACTATATTCTTATACTGTTCTGATTTTAGATGCCTGACAATTAATCATTACAAGAGTACAACACAAATATCACTACTGAAGCATACTATCAGGTAAATTTGATCTGAATTATTGCTCAATATTGTGGAAAACAACCAAGGGAGCATAAAATGAACCAAGAACACTGAAACTTTATATAAAATGCCGATATATATACAAACAAATAGAGCAGGAACTACAAAACAAACAAACATTCAATGTCATCCGAAAAACATGAACAGCAAACCATAGAAACCTTAATCAAAGACTTGAACTGATAGTATATATGGTTATTAAAGGTCAACAACAAATTGCAGAACAAAACCATGTATCCTTTGAATGTAAAAGAAGGGACTAAATACTCACAGACCAGCATAACCACTTCAATTCAAGTCCATGAATTATCAAAGGCGGCCGAGGTGATCGCCTGAGAAAACTCCTGATAATTGATACAACCATCACCATCAGTATCAGCCTCCTTGATCATACCAGTGAGCTCCTCAGCAGTCAAAGCATGGCCGAGCTTCGCCATCGAATGGGCGAGCTCGGCTGCTGTGATCAATCCATTGCCATCTCTATCAAACATCGTGAATAACTGCTTAAGCTGTTCTTCACTGTAAGGGCATTTTGTTGGAATAAGATCAGGGGATACCAGAGAAATAAATTCTGAAAATTCAATCATTCCATTGTTATTCTTATCAGCTGCTTGAATTAGGGTTTCTAGCTGATCTTCGCTGGGTTTCAACCCTAATGATCGCAACAATGATCCTAACTCTAATTGAGTCAATTTTCCATCGTTGTTTCGATCAAATGTTCGAAAAATTTCCCTCAATTCTGCAATTTGTTCGTCGTCTAGCTTCACTCCTTCCTTATCACTGCTCATTTTCTCTCTCCTTCCCTAAGAAAATTACTCAAAATTGATCTATTTTTTTTCAAGAATTCTTGAAATTTCCAATGCGATTGATGAAACCCAGATAATAAAATTCAATACTTTGACCTGGAATTGAGTGAATTCCAAAAAAGCCGGTGATTTGGGGAATTTTCGGATCACAAAAACAGAGCCAGAGAGAGAAAATTAGGGAATTACGGATCTAGAGGCAAAATTTGGGGAAAAAAGAGAAGGTGGCGGATGTTTTTCAGAAATCAAAAATTGGAATTGATTGCAATTCGGTGGTAAGTCAACGACAATTGCTACACTATTAATTGAATTTGATTCTGATGAACCCTAATTTTTCAACTAACAAAATTCCGATTGAATAATGTTAATAATTCTTCTCAATCATTAAGTAGTGTAGTAGATAATGTAAATGGACAAATTTAATTGAATAATTTTGAATATTTGGTTTATTGTTGTGAAAGTATGACAGAGTCAAAAGAGGGATGAATTTTCAAATTAAAAATAAGAGGTTGGTGATTGGTTAATGGAGTGTTTATGTGTCCCGTTAATTACGTTTGAAAAGATCATTTAGATGGGGTTTATTTTTCCAAGCATTAATTGAAAAATAAAAAAAAAAAATGTGAATGCCAACCATTATTGACATTTTAATAGCTTCAACCATTAATAAGTAAGGCTCATTAAGGGTCCCCTAAAAAAAAAACAACTTTAATAAGGGTAGGCTTCACCGGCTCACCGCGTGAGCACTCGATTGGGTTGGATTGTGCTTGTTCGATGTTGGGTCAGATTGTGCTCTTTCCTATTGTAATTGATGACTTGAAGTACGACACAAAAATTAATGGTGTTGTACTGTTATTGTGTGTCGGTCGTAATCCAAAATTCGAAATCACAAACATGCTTCAATTTTAAATGCTACACTTTTCCATGCAATTTTATTATTTTCTTGTGCATTTTACGAGTTGTGTGCTTGTATCGTACTTACGCCTTAAAAAAAAACATGCTTGCCCCACGATAATCAAACTACATTTGGCTATGCTTTTCTTATGCGGTCGATCATCCTAATGCCAAGCCAAGCTTAATAAGGTTGAGATTTTCACTTTTTGTAGCTTTTACGGACAAGTTTGAAAATTGTGGATGTTGTCATTTGGTATTCGGATAATATTCCAAGTTATGTGGTTGGAATCTCTATTTTATTTTCCCCAAACATTAAATTACAAGCTTAAAGATGAAGCGAGTATCAACTTAAATTGTGAGATAACTCAGATAAGTTAAGATAAGAAGGTAAATAAGGCTATTGATTTATCCATTAATGCATATATATATATTTACGAAAAATAGATTAAAGTTAAGTGCACTGATACAAAAAAAAAATACACATCAAAACATGAAGCGAGTAGACCAAAATAAGAAGTTTAGAGTGCTACTTTAAACATATTTGTAGAACTTGAGTTTTAGGACATGAATTCCTATTGTCATTTAGATATGTATAATCTCACTCCTTTTCAAGAGAAATCATAAGCAATGATACGGAGTATAAACTTAATTTGTCTTATATATTGTGTTTGTGTACATTTCACCCTAAATATTTTAACCAATTAAGTAAGATGAAGGGCGGAAAGCCGGGTTCACATGAGTATGATAGATGTTTCATGAGCAATAAATACTATGTAAAAATCAATTAATCAATCACTTTTTTCTCAAAATGGATGTTCCAAAAATTGAGATTAAAACTGTTATTTCAAGCATGAACTATTCAATTGATATGTCCCTCTTTCTCAAAATGGTTGTTTCCAAACACGTTCTTCAAACTTTTTTAGAACCAAAGTCATTGTTTATGCTACCAACAATGTACGCACATTATGAACTTAAATTATTTTTAAAGCCATAATCAAAGTTTAGTGAGACTACCTATAACTCTATTCATATCCATTTACTATAATAGTTTTTTCCTTTGTTTTCATTTTTTCGTAAAAGTTAAAGATGTGTTTTGTTTACCTGATTTTTACTTATCTGAACTTAATTTAATTTATTTTGATTGTAATTTGAAATTAGATAACCCCTTAATTATCATAACTTATTTTTTCTAAACTGAACTTGTTAAATCTGAAATAAGTACAAATAAGGTGAACAAAACAGGCCTTAAGTATGAATCAAAACTCAATCCATGCCATATAATTTAGGAAAAAAATATTATCATCATGTGTCATATTTCCAATTTATGTCAAAATTACAATAACACCAAAAAAAACAGCTTCACACATCAAGTAATATCCTATCATCCTCGTCATAAACCATCCATCAATTGAGACATGATACTCTCCATTTAATTTTTATTTAGAAATTAGAAATTTTAGTAACGAAGTAATGTTTTGAAAATTACATAAAAAATTGTATCTGTAGCCTTTACCAGGAATGTTCATAATGAAAAGGTTGAAATTTTTGGGAATTACGGAATAATTTCATTGTTTTTATTTCTAGTTTGTGTGGTTGTATAACTCAAAAAAATGACTGAAAATAAAGTTTGTGCAATTAAGCAATAAAATTCACCATCATACACCATAAGTCCATAACATATCATATCCTATTATCCTACCATACATTTAAGGTAATAATAATAATTACATTTTACACATTATTCACGTCCACCTATATAACTATTGTACCCAGCTAATGTGATTACGTATTTTTAGCCTAATTATCTAAGATATTAGATATGTAGGTGATTTGAGTATATAATTATGCATATTATACACATATATAAATATATGTTCATGAACTTAATTTTTTGAAGTTCATCAAAAAAACAAAAAACAAAAAAAAATAACATTCATCTCTAATCTTAAACTATATTAGCCAAGAAAAGTATTTAATCAATGGAGTATGGTGAGCTCCAACCCACAAATTCAGCTAGATTATCAAAAAACATACCGCGAATACAAACCCAAACCCGAAAAGACATCCTGGTAAAGTATGCCCTTGTTACACTCCTTGTTTTATTTTTCCTAGTAGTGTTACTAGCATCATTAACAATTATTACAATTGTTGTGATGAAACACAAACACTACTACAAAACCACCCTTATTATTCCATCATTATCAAATAATGATTCTAGTTACTCCCCCGGGTTAAGCCTAGCACCATCGTCGTCCTCATCATCAATGTCGCTCATACGGATATGTGCCATGACACGGTATCCGGACATATGTGTTAACTCTCTAGGAGAGTACATGATAAACACACAATTGGTGGAGGAAAGTAACAACCAAGACGGTGTTGAGGCCGCGATTAGGCATGGTGAGGTGAAGGCTAATGTGGTGGTGCAAGTGTCATTAAATGTTACAATGGAGAGATTAAGAAAAGGATTAGATTACTTAATGATGGAAATTAAGGGTTTAGATGAAATTAAGGAGTCATTTCAATGGTCAGCTCATGATGATTGTGTAGGGTTCATACAAGATACGGTGGACTTGCTCACACGTACTCGTCCCCTCCTAATGAAGACGTTATCATCAACATCTAATTATCAAGATAATAATAAGGTAATTAAATTGAATTATTGTTATAATTAATTGAGTAAGTAATTACGTATTAATGTTTGTATAGTTTTGGTGAAACTGAATTCTCATTTGTGTTGTTTGATTATATAGTTTTAGACTTCTAGTATTACAATTTTTATGGTTAGTAGTTTGTCTTTGTATGATATTAGGGCAATGGTGTAGCTTGGTAAGGGTGCTAGCTAGCATGCTATTGAGATTGATAGTTAATGTCTTTTGTGTACTTGTGTGGAGTTCCGGAGTTAAGTGTTACATCCTGTTAAAGTCTAGAGTGTCAAAATCTTGGCGATAAGTATATATAGTCTAGCCTCTATTAATACTCATCA